AGGAGGCGGTGGCCAGATGGTGGGTGATGGGGGTGTGGCCAGGGGATGAGAGGAGGGAATGGCAAGATGATGACAATGATGATGATGGTGGGGGCGTGGCTAGCATTTACTGAGCACTAACCAGATGCCAGGCACTAGTGTGTCATTTAACTGTCTCAAGAGCTTTATGAGTTACAGCTCAGCCAACTTTAGACATTAGCAAATAAGCTCAGAGAGGGTAAGTCACTAGCTCAGGTGACCCAGGTCATGCTGAGGGGGCTGTCTGCGATCCCAGGCTGTGTAACACTCAGCCAAGTATACCCTACTGACAATGCAAGAAGGAAATCTCACTTATCTTCTAAAACAGAATCAGACAAAATCTCGGAGGGAGGGAGGGAGGGAGCGAGACGCCCCACGTGGGCCTGTCACGTGGGCACAGCTGTGCATGAAGGCGTGTGGAAACACCAGACCGGCTCCTCTGCCAAGCAGCTGTCCTCTCACTGGGGACGGCCACCCCACCCCAGGGCCTTGCCTTGACCTCACCAGTAACATATCCTCGAGTCCCAAGACAGCCAAGCCCACAGCCCCTGAGGTCGGAGCAGGGTGCCAGGCGCTGCGCAGGTGGGTGTAAGTGCTCGACAGCTAGACTGCAGAGTGAATCTCCCTGGTCTGATGCCCACGTTCCCGGGCTGCAGGGGTGCATTTGAGTGGTTTTTACTTCTTTCTTGATGCTTCCTCATATTTTCAAAGAACTGTATGTTGAGCAGGCGTTTCTTTTGTAATTAAAAAAATTTAGGGTAACGTGAATAACAAGTTTAAAGATCCTTTGCAGACAGCAGTTCAAAAGAGCGCTCTCCCAATATCAGCCTGCAGGGGGCGCACATCCCAGTCGCAGGGCCTGGGGGCCGAGTCTTGCTCCTTCCGGATGAAACCCTGGGTGCCCAGCACCACCCGGGGCAGCCAACCAAGCGGCCTGCAACACCTGCGAGCAGGCCGGCTGCGGACAACTTGACCCCTGGTAGGATGGGCGCCAGCCGGCTGGGAAGGAGCTGCCGGATGCTACACAGAGGGGCATAGACCCCAGAACTCCGAGGTGCTTCCCCAAGAGGGCCGGGCCAGAGTCGGCCCAGCTGGGCGATGCAAACCCATCTGCCCTTCATTTCCTTCCGCCACAAGTGCGTGTCGTTAGACGGGTGGCTTCTGTCTGAAAGCCCTGGAGGCCGGACCAAGAGCCAGGCTTCAGGCAGGACCCGCGCTGGGAGCGAGCCCGGCCCAGGCAACCACCAGCCTGTGGCCTTGGGCGGCCACCCCTGTGTCTGGGCCCCGCTAACTCAGAGACCAGCAGCGTCAGCCAGGGTTGCTGCAGGAGTGTGAAAGGATGGCGAGGACAGCGTTTGCTCGGTGAATGTGAGCCCTGACGGAGGACGACCACCTGGGAGGGCAGCTCTGTCCAGCCCCTCGCTAAGCATCCCCTCCTGCGGTCACAGTGGCCACAGGTGAAGACCGCAGGCTCCCCCAGTGGCTTGGAAACCAGGGGCTTCAGCAGGACTTGCGTGAAAAAGAAGCCGGCCACTAGAGGGCGGTGCACGGCCCCGACGGTGATGCAGGGAACGGGTGCGCCAAGGGTTACTGCCTCTGAGCTCCAAATGCAGTGCCGGGCTGGGTGCGGGGGACCCTGGAGGTTGGTGGCTTTGCTGCTGGACGCTGGGAATCCACACGGGGTCTCGGGGGCCAAAACCACGGCAGGGAGCCAGCCCTGCAGAAAGCGACCCTCCACGCCCCCAACACTCACCGTCACCCCCATCTCTGGGTGGTGCTCCCAGGAGCCAGGCGAGGCGGCCACGACGGCCACCTGCATTAGAAGCGGGGTGGGACCCCAGCGTGGGGCTGCCCCAGTGAGAAGTGGGGTGAGATGTCTGCCTGGTTGGGAGGGGAGGAGAGAACGGAGCCCAGGGACTCCCCGAGGTCGGGACACGGGAGCTACCCCGTGGGGACACGCCGCTGGACTCGGGGCTGAGCTCACTCTTCTCTTGTGTCTGTTTCTGCTGCTCCGGCATCTGGGGTCTCAGTGGCACGGGAGGGACAGGCTGCCCTGCCAGGGAGTCAATTTCTAGAGAAAAGGACTCCGCCTGGGGCACAGCTCTCAGATCCACAGCCACCATGCAGTCCTCGTGGCCCCTGCGCTCTCGGCTCTCACACTCAGGGCCCCTCACGCTGTCTGAACCACCCCGACCCCGGGCAGCCCCCGGGCCCCAGGGATGCTGAGGTCACAGTCGGCTGGTCCTGCCGGCCTGTTCCCCACCTTGGAAACCACAGTAAAGGCCCCTGCCCCCACACCCTCCTCTGCCTTCCCCGCGTGGCCTCCTCCTGGGTCTGTGAGTAACACGCCACCTCTGCACAGGCAGCCGTCTCCTGCTGGGTTGGCCCCACCAGGCCTGAACAGTAGAAAACCTACATTTTAACGGAGGGGCTTGGGAGGGGATGCCCGGCAGGTGGAAATACAGCGTCCCTCACGATTCTTCCGAAATGTGCTGATAAAACTCCCATCTGGGCCAGGGAAGGCCTGACGTCTGTCCATGACCCGGGGCTCCGTCCCCGAGCCCGGCATGGTCCAGGCCCCGCCGTCCCGGGGACTCATGCACGGTCCAAAAGCCGTGACTGCCCAGCAACACCGCTCCCTGGGTCCCTGTCAAATTCCTCATTTAAGGCCATTTTAACCTGAATTCACATTTCTGGAGTTCAAAAAGAAGACTCTGCAGAACAGCAGAAGTAATGACGTCCAAAGAACGGACGAATCTGGAGAAAAAACACCACCGGCGTCTCACACGGGCCGGCCCGCTCCCCGGCTGCACACGCACCTGGCCCCGTCGCGTCCGGGGCGCGGGGTCGAGGGAAACCTGGACTGAACGTCCTGCTCTGTGGACACTCCTTCCCCAGGGACGGGGCACAGCTCTCGGACACGTCGGCAGCTCGAACACCGGACGCGGAGCTGGCCTTGCCTGGCTCTTCCTCTGCGCTGGCCCCGGGGACGCCCTGCTGGTCCCTGGCTTCTGAGGCTCACAGCTCGGCCTCCGGCCCTGGGTCAGCAGCTGTGACGCAGGCCCTGAGGGCGCTGCTCCCCTGAGGGCCTGCCCAGGGCATGGCCTCGGGGCCCCTGGGAGTAGCTTCACAGAGGTCCCCCCCGACACACACACCCTGCTCACACCACAGGCGGGAACTGGACGCTTCTCCAGGCTGCGGGGACTCTGAACCAGAACTGAGCACGAGAAGGCTGGGCAGGCGCCCACCTGCTGCTGCACCTGGGCAACCCCTGCCCTCCGACCACAGACCCTGCTCAGACGGGCAGGTGTGCAGGCTCACGGCAGTGGAGGGAAACGGACGGGTCACGGCCACACAAAGGGCGAGCAGAACCATCACAGCCTCCTCCTGGTCTGGCCTCTGCCCTTGACCCCTTGGACGGATACGCCCCCTGCTCTCCCAAAGCCACCGTCCACCCTCCTCTGCCCGCAGACCCTGACGTCCGCGCCTGCAGCACCGGGCTCCCTGGTTGGCCGGCTCTGCCGGGGCTCAGCCAAAGGGAAGGCGGGAGAACCGAGAAGCGAGGGCACTTCTTCCCCGCGTCGCAGTCCCTGCACCACATGGCTCCCCCTGGGCTCTCTCTGCCTCACTCGCTCTCCCTGCTTCCAGGAATATAATCCTCTCTTGCCCTTGGTCCATTAAAGACGCTTCCTCTGAGCCACCAGGTGGATTCTGTTTCTGCCAGGACTGCAGCCAACCTGCCCCCAGCCCCACCGCTGCAGGTGGGATTTGGAAACATGCACCTTGTGCACAGAAATCAAGCCCTGTGCTAGGTCCCCTGTGCTCACAAAGCCCCCGGTCCCACGCTCTATCGGGGCAGCTGGGACAGCGGGCCCCCGAGTGCCCACGGCTCCCACGGAGGGGCGCTCGGCCAGCGGGGTGGCTGGCGAGGGGTGAGCCCCGCGCACCTGGTGGATCTCGTGCCAGCCGTTCTCGTCCTTGCAGCTCACGGCCGCGTGCTCGTGGAGGAGCAGCTCGCAGCAGCAGGGGTCGCCCCCGACGATCGCGGTGTGATACAGCGGCGTGAGGCCGTAGCTGTCCTTGTAATCCGGGGACGCGCCAAGCTCCAAGAGGGTCTGAAAAGCACCAAAAGCTGCAGTCACGTGTCTCACGGCCTCTTTCTCAGGACTGAATCAATCAAGAAGAGGGTCACCCGCCCCCAGACCACGGGCGCCCAAGCCCTCACTTCCCGTGCTTGGCTGGCCTCTCAGGATTGAGGAGGTCCTGACTTCAGACAATGAAGTTTCTGGCCCTGAAATGGCACCCGGTCCCAGGCATGCAGCACACGCTCACACGTCCGGGAGACGCGGAGACGCTGGGCACACGTGCCCTCGGGCACCAGGGAGACCTGCCCTGCCCGGCTGATGCCCCATGTACCAGCGGAGAGCAACATGGGGACAGAAACATTTGGATGGAAAAGGTGTACTATTTAACCCAAAAGTTCAGCGTAAACCATCTTAGTGTGCATCCTGGAGGTGCTGAAATAAGAAAGCGTCGCCATGAACACTTGATTTCCCAGCAAGCCAGGTGATAAGCGCAGCCGCTGTGAAGCTAAGGAGTCCATGACGTTACAGTAAAGCACCATGTTGGGGGTCAGCCCACAGCAGTGGGTCCCCTCCCCGCCTCTCCCTGACGGAGTGGGCTGGGGCACGTGCCCCGCTGCCTGGTACACCACAGGCAGAGCCCAGGCAGTTGAGGATGCTCAAACCACAGCGTGGGGAAGGGGACGGAGGTGAGGTCCACCCCCCACAATCGGCTTCTGATGGCGGGAGCAGCGGCTGCAGTGAGGCGTGGGCTGGGTTGGCAGCCTCCTCCTTGGAGCGGGGCGGGTTTCAGCTGAAAACACGCGCCCTGAGGCTGGAACAGAGGAGAAAGGTGACTTTCTGTGAACGGTAGATCCTAAAAGCCACATCACCAAGGAGGGAGGCGGGGGGCCAGGCCACCCTTGCGAACACCACTCTAACACGATCCAGCATCACCTCGGGGGCTGCTGTGGGAGGGGAAGGGGGACGGGGCAGGCGCCGGGATCGGATGAGGGGGTGTCCCCGGGCAAGACGGACCCACGCGTACCTTCAGGGCCAGCAGGTTTCTGGTGCGGGCGGCTTTGTGCAGGGCCGTCATCCCATCCTTGGCGCGGAAGTCCAGGTGGGCCCCGCCGTTTCTCAGGGCTTTGATCACCTCCCCGGGGTCGTCCAGCTGTGCGGCTAAGGTCAGCGGAGTCTCTAGGGGCCCAAACCCACGCGTGTCAGAGCCAGCACGTGGGCGAGAGCAGCCATGCCCCTCACTCCCTCACCAAGTCCAAAGGGCTAAAAGCGAGTTTGAGGAATGGACCCCCAGGTATTACGGCTCCCATCCACCTGCTGACACCAGGGCAGCCAGCGTGGCTCCGATGACCCTCGGGACAATGGCGGTGACTCTCGGGGTCATGTGCAAATCAAAAGGGGGAACGAGGCAGGGCTCAACACCACTGCCTAGGGGGCTCTGAAAAGCTGCCCCTGCGGCCTTTGCTTCGAGGATGCAGAACCCTGCAGCCCCAGCAGACGCCCCGGCATGGGGAGCAGTCGGTTAGGGCTGCAGCCTAAGATGCAAAAGGCAGGCGTCCACCTCTTCATTTCAATTTTGTGACATCTACCGGCATCTTGGTAAGATGCCAAGGTCTGAGCACCAGGGAAACAAACATAACAGAGTCGTGCCCCGCCCACAGAGGACTCCCTCTGGGCGAGCAGAGACCCGGACAGTCATCACAAAGGGACGGGACCAACACAATGCACGAGGCGGGGACGGACGGCTGCCACCAGCCTCCGTGGGGAGCTGCACCCTGCGCAGACGGCCCTGGACCAGCCTGCAGGTGCCGGCGGCGTCGACCTCCGCATCAGACTTCTCTCCTTCCCCGCAGTCTCCCTCGCACGCCGCCATCACCCGCGGAGCAGAGTGCATTACTTTGATGTGGTTAATTTGAGAGGCTCTTAAATTACAGAAAAGGGCAAAGAGGGATGTGACAGCGGCAGGTTCCCGCGACCCAGAAACACGAACAGTGACTAGTGAGTCGTTCTGTCTTCAAGTGCATTTCGCGAGTAAGAGAGCCGGGGCTTCTCACGTGGGGCTGAGCCCTTTCTGACGCCCATCGCGGCCACGCCATCCTCCATCCCCAGGAAAGGCAACTCGTCACAAATTTACACTGACCCCTCCCATCGACTTAGCGCCTCCACGTCCTGGTCCAGGAGCGGGCACCGTCCTGACTGCTTTCTAGACTCGCCGCTGGGACCCCTCTGTGCCTTGGTTTTTCACGGTGAGACGCGTGGGCTTAACCCACCCCGTGTAACTAGTCTGCAGTCTGCAGTCTGCAGTGGGTAGACACGCCCCGGCGTGTGTGTGACCCCCGGCTTACACGTCCGCTCCCCAGGGGAACGGTCCGATGTTCACGAGTGCCACTGACATCCCTGCTATATGCCTACCAGAGGGACCCTCTCGTGCAAGGGCTTTCTCTTTTTTCTCGAAGAGTTTTCTGCAACAATGAAAGGACTATGGTGACGGAGGTTGGGGAGGACATTTCCAACACAGACAACATCAGCAAGGCAAGGAAAGGGGGACACGGCGAGGGGTGTCTGAATCACGACTGCTGGGGCCACGGGCAGAGACGTGGAAAGGGGGGCAGCTGCACAGAGAGAAGCAAACTCAGAGACAGCCCCCGCCCTGCAGAGAGGGGGCGGTTCGGGGCCTCAGCGCCTCACCCCAGCAGCACGTGGGGGTCTGGGTTCCTTGCACGGAAAGGACAGTGCAGGGGGCGATGGGGGAGGGGCTCTCTGAGAAGGCGGAAGGGCTGGGTCAGCAGGAGCCGCCAGCATCCTCCCTCCAAAGTCACGTCTCTTACAGCAGCTCCTCGAGTCTGACGTCAGTGCACGTTAGGACTGGCTGCCTCGAGGGCAAGGTCAACCTTCAAAACGATTTGGGTTTTCCTTTTTCTTCCTGTTTTTTGCATTCTTCTTTATTGACACGTATAGTCAGTTTACAAGGCTGCGTCAATTTCTGGTGAACAGTGTAATGTTTCAGTCATATGCACACATACATACTTTGAATACAGTTCCCTGTGCTACATAGCAGAAACTTGTTACTTATCTATTTTATATATAGCAGCTAGTATCTGCAAATCTCAAACTCCCAATTTATCCCTCCACACCCGCATCCCCTTTGTAATCATGAGTTTGTTTTCTATGTCTGTGAGTCTGTTTCTGTTTTGTAAATAAGCTCATTTACGTCTTTTTCTTTAGATTCCATATATGAGCGATATTCTATGATATTTGTGTTTCTGTTTGATTTCACTTAGTATGATAATCTCTAGGTCCATCCATGTTGCTGCAAATGGCATTATTTTATTCCTTTTTATGGCTGAGTAGTATTCCATTGTATAAATATACACAACTTTATCCAGTCATCTGTTGATGGACATTTAGGCTGTTTCCATGTCTTGGCTGTTGTACATAGTGCTGCTATGAACACTGGGGTGCAGGTGTCTTTCCAAATTAGAGTTCCCTCTGGATGTATGTCCAGGAGTGGGATTGCTGGGTCATATGGTAAGTCTATTTTTAAGTTTTTTAAGGAACCTCCATACTCTCCTCCACAGTGGCTGCACCAAACTACATTCCCGCCAACAGCGGAGGCCGGCTCCTTGTCCAGGTTTTCTTTCTTACTCGGTGCTCTGCATTTGGCCATTGCAAAAGCAGCAGGTCCAAAGGAGAAGTTTTTGTGTAGACAGCACTATGCTCATAGCTGGTGACCTCAGCATCACTTTGCAATGACAACACTGTCTCAGAGAGTGGTGGTGGCAGATGGTAAAGTTCCAAATTGCCGACCTCTCTGCTGGGCCAGGGCTGCTGGACCTCGTCGGGCACGGAAGTGGATGCAAAGTACCAGACGCCCAGTCAGCGGCTGTGTGTCTCACGTAGGAGACGGGAACCCCAGCCCTCGGATGACATCCGGGGACATGGAGTGACACTTCCAGCTTCTCGAGGGTTCCAGAGGCCCCCCTCAAATGACACCACAGACTTGCCATGTTCAGACCCAACCAGGACCCACCCCGGCGAGGTCAGATGAGCCCCCAGCTTAGACCTCATGTCGGGGAAGGGGGTGTCCAGTGAGACCACACATGGGCTGAGGGGACCATCCTAGGAGATGGTCGTCAGTCAGCTGCACACCTGCGGCCCTTACGGGGCGGCACTGTCTGTACCACCAGGTAACGTGGTCACGTCTCCGACGCACCTGGGAATGGCCGTTACCTGGCACTGTCGCTCTTTGAAAATACTTCTGGTTTGGCATTTCGGAGTTTCTTTAGTTTAAAAAAACACGCAGGAACCTATGCCATTAGAACCTCAAAAGAGATCCAGTCTCTACTCGTCTGAGAAGGAACCTCCCCACCTGAGGACTAATCTCCCCTCACCTAAA